ATTTTAATCGATAAATCGATAATCAAAACCCACGTGCACAAACCTTGGCAGTTTGTCTGGAGCGTACAGCTGTGAGTTAACACAATTCACAGCAAATTGACTTCAGACTATGCAATTAACTCCCCTGTATACCAAAGTACTTTAGAGTCAAATGTGGAGCCGAGTGCCCAACAGGTGTCCCACACACCAGCTAATCTGCAACAGATCAAGCCTGAAGTAATGCTGTAAAGAAGAGCAGGCTAGACTTCCTCCACAGTGATGTGAGGGTTCAATTTAGAAAGCTGGGTGTGCTTAGTTTTTCTAAGGACTATGTGTTTGGACAACATGTCCATATGAAGTAAAGACTGTGTTTTGTTTTGTAGATAATGAGGAGATCGCTCTCTTCCTGCTGCAAAACGGAGCAGGGTTCTCTTCATACACCCTTATGGACCATCCAGCCTTCAGCAAACGTATTCTCAGACTGAAACTGCAGGAAACATACGAGGCAGAAGGAGACAAGGTCCGTGCTGCTTATCCAGTGAATGCATGGCTGTTAAAGGAGATTACTGTTGTTGATCACATTTTTATTTCTTTTTTCTTATCTCCATGTTTGGTCTTCATGTCCTGTCAGATATCTATTCAGGATCTCTGCAGGACTTACTTATAGCACGGAGAGTTTATACAGTACTTATTTAGGAAGGTAACTTCATTGTTTTATTGTGTGGGAAAGTAAATGTATTTAACCTGTTTCCACCAAAACTGCCAGCCTTATATGGGTGACCACAACTGTCAAAACATAATTAAAGCCCTAATAAATTAGGGGCTGCAGAGGGACGTAACACCTCCTCCCTCAAAAGTACTCTAGGACCCCTACATTTATTAAAAGCCCCTCTGAAGCCTTCAGGTCCTTGACCCACAAACCTGAAATAAAAGTAAAAGCTAACAGAAGCACAGTGTTCACATCTTTAAGCATGGATGCCCCTGCATGAGGATTTAAAGTCGCCACACTGAACACACAAAAAGTAACATGTGACCAACACAAAGGAGCACAACAGTCAAACCCAAAATGATTACCTGACCTGCTACAACACAAAACCAAA